TCACATAAACATTCTCTCAACCACATCATTTCATGACTCATCCTTATCATCTCTTCAAAACTTTAATTCTCGTGGTACCAACCAACCAACCAACCCACCAACCAACCAACCAACCAACCAACCAACCAACCAACCAACCAACCAACCAACCAACCAACCAACCAACCAACCAACCAACCAACCAACCAACCAACCAACCAACCAACCAACCAACCAACCAACCAACCACCCAACCGACCGACCGACCGACTTACCTACTAACCAATCAACCAACCAACATCAAAATTCATGTCGCTTTACTAGCCGCCTGATCGATAAACGCAAGACAGCAATCAATAAAGAACCACCACCACGAACAACACCAACGACAACAGCGCCAACCAGTGTTTCATTATCCTCCAAGCAAGCCATCCAGACGATCCCAACAACCAATCAGAGATCGCGTCTGAAAGATTGGATGATGAAATGTTGTTGATTGGATGTCTTTCAAATATTTTCATGAACCCTCCTCTATTGATCACATGTAGATAACATTGATTCTCACTCACATTAGTCAATTTCTTCGATTTCGTGGTTTTTTTTGCAATATTTCGCACATATGAAAATTTTTAGAAAAAAAATTGAAAATCGTTTCATTATCACAAAAAATTGATATCAAACAAAAAATTAAATGAAAAAAAAAATAAAATATGACAACGTTTAATTCTTTCAACCTAATTCAACCAAGAAACATATTTTTGAATTAAGGAAGAACGATTTTTTTCTCTCTTCAAATGTTTGGCAATATATTGTCTCGGCATGAATTCTTCAAAAACATATCTTCATATCATACGAACATGCAAACATCATCACATTACAACATCGCATCATATCATTCGAACATGCAAACATCATCACATTATAACATCAAATCACACATTCACCGCGCCTGCTCATCTGTTTATAATGCTAAAAACAGATTTTATTATGTAAGTAGTATATTTTCACCGTACGCACATTGCACGCGGACGTATAATAACACACAAAATTGTTCACGGATATAATATTTCGATCATGTACATATACTGTGCAGAGTGTGCATGTGTTTGTGTGGTTGCACACACACATACACACACACGCATATATATACATATATGTATATAATTATATGTATATAATATGATATAATTATCTATATATAATATGATATAATTTATTATATATACAATGAACATATACATATATCTGTTTTGGCATGCAAATGTTTTGGCATTCATTGTATAATGTACAGTACGTATAATACAAAGATAATACTGATAAGCAAATATTGATAACATGAAACCAGGGGTTACAACACGGATGCTGGTTGCATTGTTCAGATTGACTACCTTGGTGGAGTGATTCACGATGGAAGAACTTGCGTTTATAATGATTGATTGAAACTTTTATGTTTAATTTATGCAATTTTTGTCAGAATGCTCTTAAAGTGCTCATTAATTTATTCATCAAATTAAAAATTCACCAGCAAAATGTTTGATGAATGCCTCAAAGAATGCCCAAATAAGAGATGGTCGGTGATGTTGCCAGGGTTGGAACGGAATGAACTGAAATAAGGGATCGAAATTTTAAATGAAGTACACTGAACAAATTCAATGTTTAACCAATCAAATGAAGAGACGTCTTACCAAAACGTGTTTCTCAAATGCATCGTGATTTATTTTTTAATGAGGTTAAACATCAACCTGGTGGTTCAACAATTGACCATTTTGTGGTTTGGCGACGTACGTGTAGTGTGGTGACGTGTGGTGTGGTGTGGTGTGGTGTGATGTGGTAGTACCGTGTGAGGCAGGATGCATAAAAATATTCAAGCCAGTGAATGTTGAAAGTGATGACATGATAAGACTACAAGTTAGTATACAAATTACCTATGAGATTGATCAGTGCAAAAGTGCTTGCTCCAGCCGTCCTCAAATAAAACGATTTAAAATTTGAAATAAAAATTAAATGGTGATTGAAATAAAAGACCTGGCAAAAATCAGTCGATCAATTAATTAATCAATCAATTATTGTACCAGTGAAAAACATATTTAATTTAAACTCGAATGATGCAATAAAATTAATTTTCAGAGAACGTTTCGATAAAAAAAATTAATTCTTTTATAAATTATAAAGTCAAAAAATAATTTTTATTCGCAAACATTCAAACGTAAAATTAAAATACTTTAAAAAAATTTTCACCAAAGCAATCTTAATTAAACATTTTCATCATCA